ACTTATCATACCATTGTCAATGCTTTTAAACATTGACAACTAATGCAACTTTAAATATTCTTATCAAAAACACTTAATAAACAGGACTTTTTTTGTAAAACTTGAAAGTTTTCAACAGTACCCTTACTTTAAGCGCGAGAAAAATCAATCCGCTTCAAATTCAGAAAATGGTTCCAAATCATACGACATTTTTTTGTGAGTCTAAAATGCTAGTTTCCGCCATCTTATACCAGCTTTTTCAACCGCGTGAAACTTTAAGTCGAAATTATGGAAATTGACACACTGAATTCTCATTTTTTCGTTTAAATTATTTCAAATCAATTTATTAGGTAAAGTCTTCGCTCAAATATAAAACTTACGATGAAGGGTAAATACTGGTAATTTTCAGATACAAAATAAACTCATAAGTTTTGGTGTCGAAAAACTAACCATATGAAAATTACCAAATCAACTTACCATCACAAACCTGGTCTCTTAATTCACGCCAAAACCAATAACCTATCTTATTACTTGCAAAATCCTATTCCTTATAGTAATACCTAGCCTGCGGTACTGGAAATCTATGGCACATCTTAATACGTGGGGACCGCATGCATCGCCCAGCTCTGCTCACATATAAGACTATCACTTATAAGACTTATAAGACTATCACCTTTTCACTGCATATATGTTTATTGCTTCACGTTCGTTTGAATTATTGTTTTTGGGATTATGATTATTTTTATGGTGCTTTTCACCTAGATTTGTATTTTTTCAACTAATTTTCAGTCTGCTTCTGTGCTTGTAAACAGGTATGGATGGAGATGGAAAGGAGAATGACGGGGATTTTGTTGGGTGGTTTGAGCTGAAAGGCCTGAGCTGGTTACTATACCGGGGTTTTTTCTTGCAATAAATACATTTAATATCATCTGTAGTTTCTTTAGAAGTGTAGAAACAAGAATTATAACTTAGACACTACGCACGTTATCCGTATAAGAAAATGGACTGTGAATCGAATATTTCATGAAGTGAACAAAAAAAGAAATGTACCCGAAGCGAATATTCACGAACATAATCGGGTTATGGCCGTCGCGTCTGCGTTATAATGTTAAATTCTACACAACTTGCGCTGAAGGAACGAAATTTTTTTGTGGAATTCGCATACATTTTTAATTAACTTTTAAGACATGTCCTTAGATTCCAGAGAACCAACAGACACCAAACTGTGCAACTATCCAGTGCTTAATTTGACCTCTTTTTCATAAGAATTTTTATTCCGACTTTCGATACAAAAGTAACGGAATATTTGTGCTCGGTGTGGGTTTTTTTTCTTCAGATAAACTTCGACTTTTTAACTAGCCATTTTTGACGGAATTTTTTATATCATTCAAAAGGTATTGTTATCCTGAGCCTAAATTTGAAAAGATTTTCACCTGTGATCATTTTCCGTAAAGTTATGAGGGTTTAAAGATTGCCATTTTGGCCATTTTGACCAATTTGGGACAATTAACGCGCGGTATAATTCGCATTATTAACGCGTAAGCGGAGATTTATTCCGTCTTATAAATCGTTCCAAATTGGTTGAACGAAGCTTATTTGCCATAATTGATTTGTTTGAAGGAACGAAATCTATCTTTTTGCACTTTATATGGCTTGTGGGGAGATGATTTTCATTTAAAAAATTCAAATTTTTGAGAAAAAAATTTCATTATGTTTTATTTCATTTTATTTTTTTAATGTTATTACTGCTGCTCCATAAACCTTAAAAGGCAGTCGGAACATTCAGGGCTTCGCCCTGATGCGAGCAGTCTTGTTATATCTGTTTTGCCCTTGACTGATAAAAAAAACCTGTTGCAGTTAAATTGTCAAAACAATCTTTCAAAACAATGTAAAAATTTGCTAGATATGCACGCATGCTATATTTGCTAGAAAACAGGCAGAAAAAAAACTTAATAAAGTATTGAAAACTTGTCGTCACAAAAACACAGGTTTCGATCCCCTATGTCACCATCTTGGTCTGATTTGATATCAATGTTTTGCTCTTTGACACAATCTGTTGACTCATCGGGAGGGTTAGATGGCACGTGAAAAATTCCCGGCTCGAGGTGTTCGACTTATGTTTCGAACAACTCGAACAAAAACTAGGCTGCCAAAAAATTGAACAGCAGAATAGTTTGATAGTGTCATTGATTAGGGTTTGAGTCGTACCAACAGTCTTTTTTTTTTTTACTTTTTTTTAGCATGAAAAAGCCTAGTTAGTTAATTTCTAATCAAAAATAAGATGAGAAAAGTTTCGAAAATCCCTGCTTTGCTCAAACAAATAGTACCATGTTCATGCAAGCTGAGAGATCATTCTATAAAAAGTCTTCAAATCTCAAAATGTTTGTTTTTACTGATCAGTGAAAATAGATGACTGCATCCTTTTCTAGAGTTTTTGGATAGACCTAGGACAAGCTCATTTCAGTTACAATTATTACAATATATTTTCTCTCATAAAGAATTCTAACCCGTACCCAACAGAGGCTGTTTTTCAGATAGAAATGTGATATAGATGATGTAGCCAATTTGTTCGGATTTTCTGTACATATCTCTTCTTAGTTTAGCAATAAACAAATTTTGAAATAAAATGTCCTGAAACCAGTTCACTGCTCAACCGCAAAGAGATGAACATGCTTCGAGTAAACCCAAAAGCCGTAGCAATTAAATGCAAATGAACACTTGTTATAACAAGTCTTGCCTTGCAATAGCTTGCGAAAAGTGTTCTAAAGTAACAAGTCATTTGGGCTAAAGGTTAACTCAACTGTCTCACCAACTATAAAGATAAGGGTTTGAAATGCACCATTAGATTTTTTCAAGCAAGAAATAGCGTAGATTTAGCTAATTTTTTTTTCGATACAAAAGGTCGAAGTTGTGGTTTTTTCGATACAAAAGGGTCGAAGTTGTGGTTTTTTATCAAAAAACAGTGCTCTTTCGTATTTCCAGACTGTTGTGACAAAAACGGGTATTTTTAAACCGAAGAGAGTGACGCACCCGGGTTGACAAAAATGCCTATCATACAATTTCATACTATGAAAAAACCGCATATCATACTAGTTCGTTTTTAGAGTTCAATAAAAATATTATGGAAATAGCATGATAACTTTTTTCCCATAGTATGACATTTTAAACTAAATTTTTTTGCAACATTTTGGAATAAAACAACAAGCGTTTTGCCAAACGTCTCATTGAACAATTTTTATGTACTGTAATATATGATATTATTATATATACATATATACATACTGAAATTGTATGACAAGCATTTTTTTAAAGAAAAAAAAACAACTTTTTGTTTTAGGTTTTTGAGTTTCATCCGAAACACACTAGCCAAAGGTTTTCTGTGAGTAGAAAACCGCAATTGTTACTGGGATTTACCCACGTTATACTGCATTTGGTGATATTAGCAATGTTAGTTAAATGTAAAATTTTATAATGATTTGAAAACCAAAAACGTAATTTTCAGTGTATGGCTAGAAAAAGTTTTCTGCGGTTGAGAGAAGAGGCCAGTTTTTTTTTACAAAATTATGTTTAAACTAGCATATGAAAATAAAAAAAATAATTGGTTTATACAAAAACACTTGCTCTCAATTTTTGGATTTCTTGGGTGACATTATCTACGTTACATAACCCAGACGCAGATATTTCAAATATTTCATGCAAGTCGGACTTCCATTGAAGTTTTCTAATTAAATAAGTCAAATACTGATCCCCATTTATTCAGTTGTAATCAATTATTTTTGAAGAGGCCCGCAGCGAGGCTCCATGAATAATAGTTAAATTATAATCGATTTATGTGATCAAAAACATTGCCATTATTATTGATTATAATTACACTTTGGTCCCACGCAATAGATTACAATCGATGTAATCCAATTTTTTCTTCGAGACATTAGAGCTATTTTAATTCATTTAATGTCCATTATTATGGATTACATTGGGTTATAATCATACCCATAAATTTTTCCATTTTTTGCAAAATTTGCAGCTTTTTCTGCATTATTACTGCACTCATTATTCTGCACAGCCTACTCAGTATCTAAATCTTCTTATATTTACTTTATTTCTGCGTTCTTCATTTTTTACACCCAAGATGAACACGCCCAACTTTTTACCGATCCCCCCACCAACCATATCCCCACGTACTCCACCCCACCTGGTTTAGGAGGGAGATATTTCGCTTGTCCGAAGTGCAGAATTGTGGACTAAGTATCACTAGCCGGGAAAATCATGTTTGAGACAGAATATTTTTTTGAAAGAAAAAATATTTCGAGTCATATTTAGTTAAATTCAGATATAAGCATTAAATGTCGTTGACGTCATTTAGCATACTTTAAAAACCATTATCTAATTATCTTATCCTGATTTTATTAATTAAATGTACTGTTCAGCCAAGATCAACATATACAGCTGGTAACACCTGGTCTTTAAATCGGATTAGTTTTATTTCCATGGTGTACTAACCAAATGAGTTATGACCAAAATTATAATGACTTAGAAAATGACAAAACTGCATTACGCAAACAATTTTTTTTGTTAATGTTAATCCTGTGGTGTATGCAGTATTTGAGATAATTCACCTGAATCAAATATAAATTTCCAAGATCTACGTAAAACAACACAAAGAAATCATTTTTCTGAAATATTTAACTGAAGTTTTTATGTGCAAAGTAAAAATAGTCTACCACTAATTTAAATATACATTTTATTATAGCCTATGGATTACACCCTTTTGTCTTACTGTTCATTCATAGCGCATTAATTTTATTTCATTATTTTTTTAATAAAAATTTTTGACGAGCAAAAAGAAGACTTCACTTCTGTTGTCGCTTATTTGATTTAAAACCTAAATTTGCAAAAAATATGTTCTACGTGCGACGCCAGTATCTATCCGGCAAATACGATGAGTCATCATCGTCCTCTTCACCCTCAGCTGTGATGAGTCACGTGGGGGGAGTGGGGGTGGGGGTGCAGATGACGTCATGTAGTGTGGGAATAGGGGTGGGTGTGGGAGAGAGGAGGGATAGTGGAGGGGTGACTTTGAGGACAAAGAGGACTCTGTTTGGGGGGAAGTCGCAGCAGAGGAAATCGCAGGGGGGAAATAATTTCTCATTGAGCTTGGATGTAAGTAGATTTTATTGATTTTACTATTTTGAATAATGATATAAAAATTAAATATTTTGAATAAAAGTATAACCTACAATTTGATTGTTATAGTCATGCTTATATTTTGTATTTTGCAGATACAAAAAATTAAAATTTATAATTTAAAACGAGTTATGTTTGAGAAAAACATTATTTTAAATTTGTTAAGTCTCTTTGGACGCTGTTAACGAATCTGCTTACGGGTAGGCAAAAGGGTGTGTTGATGGTGCTTGGACAAGGTTAAAACACGGCGGTGTCTTGAAAGGTTAAAGGGCTGGGGTTTCAGCTTCAATTCACATTCACTTTGCAACAATTAAGCAAAGTGTTGACTATTCATCAATTATTTGAAACAGTCCTTTTTTATTAGTTTTTTTTAACCGAAATTTACTTTTTTCTTGTAATTCAGTGTTCAATCATTTTGAAATCTAAGAAACCTTCCCCGAGTTGAGAGCGGTTTTTGATTCTTCTTCTTACTCCTCACAAAATAAGTTAGCATCAGGTACGCGGCTAAATATGAGGACCAATTATGCTTAGAATGCCATTTTTTGTCAAAATCAGACTGCGACCCTAAGACTAACAAAGTAAAAACCAGTCGCTTGGGTGTGTGAGTGTATGAGTGTGTATAAATTTTTGTATGCTGGAACGGGGAGGGGGGTTGTACGAAAAGAGAGCCAAGTGTTAATATAATTCCAGCACAACTATGAGGAGGAGTCGATGCACTCCAGATGTGCTCTGGTGTTCGAGGCCGTGGACCAGGTGGGGGGACTCATGAAGGTCATTCAAGTGTTCAAGGTCAGTAGTCCAGCATGGTTAAAGGTCATTCAAGTGTTCAAGGTCAGTAGTCAACATGAACCAATACAGGTCAAAAGGTCAAATGTCATTTTTTGGCAAATTTTTATACACGTTGTCTGTGGCGCAGAAATTTTTTAAAATCTTAAAACTTTTTTGGGTGTTTGGTTTCGTTGATTATTATATTTTGTTTGGCCAATAATCAGAGTCTTTGATGCTGAGTTTCAATTGTCTCTTCTCGCCCTTCAAAAAAGCATACAGAAATTTAAAGAAGCTCACAGCAATTTTTTTGAGATCCGTGGTAATTACTATGGGCGAAACATTCGGGTTTTTTTCCAACCGGGCTATCCTCAATTAAGCTTGAACAAGTTTTGAAAAATTGAAACGGTTTTTATAACGCAGAATTATTGTAAGAAGTAATCTCTTTGTTACATATTACTTTCCCCAGTTGACAAAGATGACCAATCTTGTAAGATCTTGTAGGATTCTTGCAAAAATGACTTCGAAAGATCTATCTGTGGCGGGCTATCTCGCAAGATCTTGTAATATTTTTTACAAGATCTTACAAGATACACCATCAGTTTTTCGACTGAGCTTTCTTGTTAGTTCTTTTAAGGTTTTTACAGGATCTTAAAAGATAGCTTGCAGTTTCATCAAGCATGTTCTGGTAGTGTGGCTAGCGGAAAACAAAAAGAGCAAAACAACTTTGGCCTTTTTATATTGATCAAAAAATTTCAAAGTGAGCTGAAAGTGTGAAAGCAAGCGCCATCTTCAGAAAAACATTTCGATTTGTTTTTCGATATCGCGTAATAATATATCACTTGATATAGTTGAGTCACATTCGTCAATTTTCATTTAGAGTTTGAAAATTGTATTTAACTAGGCAACATGTCTTCAAGATTCTTGCAAGATTTATTAGTTTTGACTGGGGTATCTTATAAGATCTTGAAAAAATCTTGCAAGAGTCTTGCAAGAGAAAGCAGTTTTCTGACAGAATCTTGCAATAAGCTTACAAAATCTTACAAGATAGGCGACTTTCAAACACATGAACTTTTCAAAATTACTGCTGCGCCGTTCTGTTTTTTTTTTAGAGATACAACATAAACATTCGGCATATTGAATCGCGAAGAATTCCAATTAGAGCTGCTGTTTCCAACAAGGACAACAACAAAAGTCTACAAGTGATACCTGATGTAGATGATGACTCATCTAACGTAGAGAGAAGCGATACGAAAGCGGAGGAGCTTGGAAAAGGCAAGCATCGGTTATGAAATTTGTGAATGAACAAATCGAACTTAACTCATTGTTTCAAACACATCCATAAAAAAGTGACACTAAGGAACTTTGGCGCAGGGTTGGTCAATTTTGCCTAATTTTAGGTACATCAAGAGTCAAGCGTGAAGACGTATTAAAGCCCCTCAGTCATGATTCGGATTTTTTTTTTTAGAAAAAAGTTGTTTCAGTGCTTAAAAAAATGGTCTGACTGCTTGAAAAAACTGGTCTGAAAGTTGTCGTTGGAAATGCGAAAAACTGAAAAAAAAATTGTCTGTGTCGATAAATTGAAGCCAATTTTTTTGTTAACCAAACTCAAAAAAACAAGTGCAGATAAATGGAGAACTCGAAGTAACAGGATATTTTTTCATGTTTATTGAAAAGGGGGAGGAACTTTGTTTTCGGTTGTGTTTTCTTTAGATTTTTTTTCACGCAAAATCAAGTGCCAAACTTACATCTCCCAATGAATCGAGGGATATATCATATAAAGCCCTTTTGAAAAGCGGCATGAAATTTTTGAGTTTTAGACTAAGTTCGAGCAATTAAAGAGATCGAGTAACATTTATGATAAAAAAAATTGGCCATTTATATTAAAAAATGTTCTAAATTTTAATGAACAAAAAATAAGTTTAGTTAGTTAAGCTTCATTGCCGACTTCCTTGCCAATAAAATTTTTCTTTAAAAATTTGAAAATTATAGCGCAAAAATTTTAAAATTTAAAAATTAAAACAAAAAAATTAGAACTATTTTTGATTTGTTTTTTTTTATAATGTTTTTAATGAGTTTCCTTTTTTGAAGACAACTGGTGTCGATGAGGCCTAATGGGCAAATCGTTTTTGTATGTTTATGATTCTCTCAGCACACAATCACAAAAAAACGACACTAATTTTAAAGGTTTAATAATTCGATATTTTTCAAATTAATTTATGAGGTCGGAACATTCTGCGCTAGTTGTAACTCGACCGGCTATCCTGTGCACTGATACTTATGGCCGAAACACTCAATGCTACTTGGACAGCAACTGATTTCTTTTGTTTGAGCAGATTTGAACAATTTGAACAGATTTCGAAAAGTTTATTGAATGTTTCATAAAATTCATAACGTTACTTTTCAATATTTATGACTGGATTCTATAGTAGTCAGCTCATACTTCGGTTGGTTTGTTTTTTTTTAACATCATTGACATGCTTTTTTCAACTGGAACAACTATTTCATATCTACTCCCTTTCCCATTGGTTGTTCTATCAATTTCACAAATTTTAACTGTATTGTCTATAATTTGTTGAAGCGTGAGCCAACAACAAGTTGAAAGCTACTTTTGGTCGAAAGAGACAACTAGCGCTTTTAAAAATAAACGAGACTTCGTCACCGTCGTCATTTTGAAGCGGCAAACGAGCCAAATGGAAGAGCAGCGGAGTGAAGCGGTTGCTAGTCGCAAATTCTTATGAACTCTAAATTGAAACTTTCGACGAAATTTTTTTTCGCGTTTCAAAAGTTATCAAATTTTACCGAATTGATGAATAGCTTCACAAAAGAATTTCTGGTGGATTGTGAAACCAAAAAAAAAACTCATTTACAGTATTTGAAAGAAAAACTTTTTACACGTAAAATTTGAGGGTGGTAGGTTTTTCGGAAACAAACTCATCTGATAACACTTTTAAAAAACATTTCAAAACGGACTAAGACCAGCAGTCTTAATAACTCGATTACCAGTCGCCGCGGAAGCCATAAATTTTTTAATGAGTGTTTTTATTAATAGCTTTAAAATAGTTTTAATAGTTTTTATGATCATCATTTTTTGTATGATCATCGTTAATTAATGTTATGGTTAATATGATACTTATTTTTTGTTTTATTTGAAATTCAAACATTTCATGACTTTCATTGCTATGATAAGTTGTATGATTATTGTTTTAATTATTACTATGAATTTCTTTGTATGTTCGACATTTCAAAGGTTCGAAAGGAACTTTGCATTTGCAATCGGGTAGTTTTTTGTTTGGGCCTTTTTTGACTGCTTAAAGAAAAACTCAAAGTGGATTCAACATTTGTATGCTACTTGAATTGTTTTGGTCGCTATTGGGATTCTAAAAAGAAAACTCGAAAAAGATCTTTTAGAGTTTTAGAGATGAGAAAAAGTAAAAACAAAAGTCTTGTGGAGCTGAATTTTTGTCAATCTTCCGACCAACTTCTCAACTCAATTCGGAGACAAAGTCAACATTTCAAAGCTATATTTACTTTTTTTAGCCAACTCTTATTAAAAAAGAACTGGCTGAATTTCTAGGAAAAAAACTCAATTTTTTTTTCGATTTTTCTTTGTAATTTTCTTTTGCCTTTTTTTTCAAATTTTTTGTTTGAGTATAGTCGAAGCGAAACGCTCTTCGAGACTTGCACAGCTATTAGCTCTGCTAGTTAATATCATGAAATTTTTTATTAATATTAGACTATCGTTCCGAAAGAGTATTCTCGAGTTTTAGTTTTTTCTTTTTGTTTTCCATGCAAAATTCGGTACCACAAATATTTCCTGAAATGGGAAGATACTTTTAACACAATGAACCCTTTTCAGTTAAACCCTGACTCAGAAGACGTTAAAAACTCTGAAACAATTTTCTTAGAGTCGAGAAATACTGGTTTGATTTTTTTTCTTGTTGGTCTAGTTTCGAGCTAATAACAAGATTGTGCAGGCTTACAATAGCCCATTTAAGCTTAATTTCAGCCGGAACAAGTTCGTTACTTTCTGAATAAAGTTAGCTTTTGGAGATTATAGCGCTATTTTGGGAATCAAAAACTTCAAAACTTCAAAAATTGCTGCATCACATTTTTTTTTGAAAAAATCTTAAAAGTTAATACGATATTTTTGTTTCCTTTTTCTAGTCATTTTTTTTACAAAAACTGTTTGACAATTGGCTTATTTGATTAATCATAATTTCTGATTATTTTTGCTTAGATTTTTTTTATCACACCACATTAAACTGAAATAATTTGAAAAAAGAGTATAATTTTTTAAGATTATGGTCGGAACTGTCTGTGCTATTTGCACAGTAACTGGCTATCCTTGTTAGGAATATACACACTATTTTTATGATAATCACGGTTTAGATTATCGAGGTTACTACGATTATTGTTTCAGGGGTGTTAGGGGTAGACTACAGGTATTAGTTTGGCTGTGACTTGGATTGCGATGCAGAGTAATAAGAGTTGGCCATCAAAATACTGAAATGAGATTACTATGAACATTATTTCAGGGGTATTGGGGGTAGATTACAAGCAGTATTTCTACTGTGACTTGGATGGCGATGCAGAGTCATTGGTGTTGGCCATCAAGATACTGAAGAACTGCGTGATCGAATTCACTTTCAACGATGGCTCCATGTTCGTCCCAAGCAACAATCGAGCAGGTGAAAAAAGCAAGAACAGATTTTCTTCATTAGCTTCTCATATCGTAATTGTAATTCTGCCATTGCTTACATGTATTTAACCAATGTTTCTAATTACATCAATGCATGCCATTGATGACCTTGACATGTCAAAAAAATTTTTACCCAGCAACTGAAAAATCTAAAACTAACAAAATTTGAATTAAATTACAAAATTGAAACGCTGGGAAAATGAAAAAAAAAACTGATAAGTGAATGTCAAAAGCAAGGGAAAAACATAATTACGAAGTGAGAAGCTAGTAAAGAAGATAACCAAGACGTTGAAAAATGAATGATTTGTTACATTTTTTAAATAATAAACGAGCTTAACTCAAGTTTTTTTTTCAATTTTCTTATCAGGTAGAATATTAACACCACAACTAACGATCTTTTAGATTCAGCCAATAAAAAGGAACAATCGCCAGGCGGTGACAACCTTGAGCAGCAGAATATTTCCGGTGATCAGACAGGAAACAGAGGAGTCGAAATGACGGGAGGTAAAACCATGAAAACATTTCTTTTCAACAAATTTCGATGGCTATTATTTAGTTCATCATTGTGTTCTCCTGTTTTTAAATAGTTAGGTCAATTGGGATCTCAACCAGGGGCGACGATAGGATTTTTTCCGAGAGAGTGGGATGGTTATACTCATATTTTAAAAAGAAAATGTAAAAAACTTGTCGACCTGTTTCGGGTCACTTAAACTTTTCCAGGCTCTCAAAAATTTTTATGATTCCCCTTTCCCCCAGCTTTACTATGTATTTCGCACAGGCGCTTTCAGTAAAATACAGGGTTGACCAGCAGAAATATCAATTCATAAAGCAGTACTAAACAGCAGGCCTTATTGGATAGTCCTGGGGACTCTTTTTCCTTTTTCCACCCACCTGTAAACTTTTATATTTGAAGTTACTGTTCAGTTCGTCCGATTGTCATGAAAATTGACATACAGACTAACTAGGCCATGACAAACATATTTGGCCTTCATATTTAACCTTGTAAAACCACTCGTTACACCATAAAATTAATGTTTGTGTGAGGTGGGGGAAAAAGAAAAAGAGTCGTCCTGGGGGTTCCAATCAACGACCAATCAGGAGGGGGGGTCCAACCATCATAAATATTTTTTTTACTTATCAACAGGTGTTAACGCAGCCGGCGGTGGAGGGGAATCTGGGGTACAGGAGGGAACAGGGGGGACTCCTTGGTACCCCACAAGGGTGAGAGACCTGGATAAAGTGTCCAACAGGGTATTCATGGCTGGCGTGGATCTGGACAGCGACCATCCAGTGAGAACTTTTTCCTTTTCTTTCGGTTGCTGCTTTTTATGTCTGTTTCGACCATTTTTGTTTTGTTCCGACCATTGGATAGTTTTTTCCAGGCAAAGTCAGGCACCGCAATTAACGAAATCGGTCGGGTGACATCGTTTTTTTTCCCTCAACCGTGCTTCGAAAAATATTCAAAAAGTTTCTCCAGTGTTCAGAAAAATATATCTGTTTTATATCTACTTCATTTGGTTTTATATCTACTTCGCTGGGAAATCTGTCGTCAAAGTATCTTAATTATCTTTCTATCGAATTGAGTTCTAAGCTTCCACCACACCAAAAAAACGAGAAGCAGTTTGAAAAAAAAAAACTTTTTTTTTGTAGAAGTTTTAAGATTACGGTCAGAAATTTTAGTGTTTATTGCACAGCAACTGGCTAACCTTTTCCTATATATGTTCGGAACACAAGGCAGTAATCTGAAACGCAAAAAGATTTGGGGTCTGTCTTCTTAGAATTATGAATTAAGTAAATCTTCGTTAAACTTATAACTATTGAGGAATAAACCTTGTAACATTTCAAAAATTATCTCTGAAAATCAAATACATGAAACGATAGCCCATGTTTGATGAGACACTTGAAGTTGCAGAAAATGGGTTTCTCGACTGCTTAAAACAACACCAGATTCAACGAACCTAGTTTTTTTTGTTTTCAGGGTTTTCACGACCCAGTTTACACAGCAAGGAGGAAAATGTTCGCTGAGATCAGTTTCAACTACAGACAGTTAGTAAATTTTGTCATTCGTTTTATATAGTGAGTTGCAAAAAATTCGAACAGACAAAATTAATTCGAAAGAGCTAATTACATTTTTCAGACAAATTTTGAATGCAAAATCTAATGTTTTAGATAGAATCTAATCCCGCATCCAAGTTTAGGCGTAAGTAATCGATTATAACGGATTATTATGATGATTTTTTGTCAATAATAATTGATTATAATTACCAAAATTAGGTGTACAAAGGATTTATAATTGATTATAATCGTGATATTTTTCAAGAGATTATAATCTCTTATAATTGATTAAAGTTCATACAAAAAACCCTTAAAATCAATTATAATCGATCATAATCGATTATAATCTCTAATTTTCCGAAATTTTGTCAATTCAAAATTATATTCGAATTGCATCTTATGGGTTACTATTTTTGTGTCAATAAAAAATCTCTAAAAGAGAGATTTCTTGAACACTTTGGTTCATCTGAACACAAAACTTTATCACGAAGCAAAAGTTTCGTAGAGGTCCTTTCATATTAGTGGAAAGGTTCCCGCGGTAGATGATAAACAAATCTTTTGAATCAATTGTGAAACTAAATCATTGTGCTGATGTTTTGATGTTTAAAAAAGCTTAAAATATGCATCACAAAACAACACTAATGGGGAAGAAATGAAAAAAACTTTCAAATTCGAATTAATTGGAGAACTTTAAAAAGAATTTTTGTTTTTCTTCTTCAAAGAAACCAACGCCTACAAAAAGCATAAAATATAAGCATTTTAGATGCAACTTCTAAGACAAAATGGACAAACAAAAAGGATTAAAATCATTTATAATCGATTATAATGAGTTTTTGTGCAAAACTGAAGAAGTAGAAATTTGAATAAAAATAATGGATTATAGTCAATTATAATCAATTACAATGGATTTTTGTACAAAACTAAAGAACTAGAAATATAAATAAAAATAATGATTTATAATCAATTATGATGGATTAAAATTAATTATAATTTGATTTTAAAAAAGAGAGATTATAATCGGTTAATAATTGATTGAAATTGATTGTTTCTGAATTTTAGTAGGACTGATACCAAAATCGTAAAATAATCGATTGAAACTGGATGCGGGATGTCTCGAAATCACCTTAAAATTAAAGTTTGACCGCAGAAGTTGTTGAAAGATGACACATTGACCTTTTTAATTATTTGTTTGTTTTTTGGCGAACATTTTGGCATTAACTATAGAAAAAAAAATAGATTGGAAGAATTCTCGGTGATTCACCCGTTGTGCAGACATAATTGTTCTAACTAATCAACAACTACATGGCATGATGTTTGTCATGCATTAACCAAAGTTTTGCATGATTGAAAAGAATAATTAATGCAGTGAGATCAAGCTGCTATTAATAGTTAAAATAAATTATATATTTTTAAATAAAACATTTGAAAAGAATGAAAGAGATGGCTTCAGATTTAGATAAAATTATTTGGTGGTTTAATCTAGCAAGGTAGAATTTTTCAAACAAGGAGTTTTTAAGGTATTTTTCTCTTATCATGTTTCAGCGGAGATCCAATACCACAAGTGGATTATTCTGACGAAGAAAACAAAACATGGTGAGTTATGGATTTATTTTCACCCACTGCTCTTCTTGAAAAATAAGTTGCTCAATTTGACATACTAGGTGTCAATTTTTACGCTTCGTAAATTATTGCTTTTCACGCCAGATAAGGAAATAAATTTCAAATTTTCTTTATCAATTTTGGATCAAATTGAATGGACATCAAAAAGAACCTCGAATGACAAATGTCTCGACAGAAATTGCAATTGATTATCAAGTTAAAAACCTAATACTGCAAGGGCTAAAAATGCAATCGATTCTATCAAATTCGTCTTTTCAGTTGTGCTAGTTTTCATGAAGCAAAAGCGGTATTTAATTAAATGCCCTTAAACCGGTTGTATTTGATATCTTGAACAATAAAATCAAAACTAAAATTTTTAAGTGCAGTTATTGAAACTTACTTCTTACAAATTACACACATTATGAAACAGTTAAAACATGTTTTTAGCTCATGATACAAAGCTTAAGTACTGTTCGTAGATTGGTTTCATGCGAACAATCGTAGTTTTTTTTTCGAAAAAATCATTTGATTTCTCAAACCGGACCGTAAAACAAAATTTCAAAATGTAAAAACACACCTTTACTTTTTTGGACGATTTTCCTAAATCAACACGAATCTATTGATTTTGAAGTGCACATGGAACACTCAAGGCCTCGTTCTGATACGAACAGTCTTATTAATTTATTTGTTGGATTGTATTATTTTAGACCAAGCAAATAAAAACAGGCTTGTCAGTCCGCGGTTGAAACTTTTCTTGTTCCGACTTTTGAAGAAACGCAAAACTTAGATGCTTGGGTGGTTTTTTCGGTCAAATGTTTGGCAATCGAAGTAAAATCTTTCATTGCTCCGATTTTTGAAGCAATGCGACATATAAATGCGTGGGTTATTTTTCGGCCAATTTCGGAAAAACGAAGCAAAAATTGACTATCGAGAGTTAACATCGTTTCACATTTGAGCTTAAATGTAAAGCGATTTTTTTCTGTCAACTCATGTTGTCAGTTCTGGGGTTTTAATAATGCGATTTTTGACATGCTCTGGAAAAATTCTAGCGCACTTTGAAGATTTCATTTATGATGCTGAAAGCCAACGCGACTCATTATGTGAGGCGAAATATCCAGCACTCCAGTTTGGATTTAGGCAATCTGGTCGGTCGTTTTAGATTTGGGTACAACTCGTTTTTTCACGTGATGTATGATACTAATCAAACAATGTGTTTTTGAACTTTTGCATAATAATTTTTAGTCTTCAATTTTTTTATTCATTCGATACCAAATAAGTGGCAGTTAAAACACCAGAAGATGTTTCAAAGATTATTAGTTACTATGTGATTATTTTCCATGTTTGGAAGATATCCCTCAAAATCTAAGCTGTGAAAGTTTGCTGATTACTTTAATGGGACGGGGAGCATTGGTAAAACATTACGGGTCCAAACTGTGCACTGCGGATTTGGTGTCTGTAGGTTTCTAGAATCGAGAGACAAGTCTTTGTCCAGAGACAAATTTTTGTCGGAACGATAAAAAAAGAAAGAACAAAAGAAAGACAAAAAGAGCGTCCTTGTTAGGGAATTCACATACAATTCACTAAATACACAGTTTGGCCTCGTTTTTAATGACTCAAATATTCGCCTCTCCGTCGTAAGGTCGGCACATCTAGGCGCATCTTGGTTTAAGACTCTTGATTTAAGGTTGCCCGGGATGACCGAAACTCCTGACCATACATTTCCCATATATGAGAAACTTCTTGTCATACAATTCCATACAATGCCATACGTACAGAACATTGTATGAGATCTCTATGATAAACCTTTTTCCATAAAGGAAAATTGTATGATAGATGTTTTTCCATAAAGCAAAAAGTTTGATTTTTTCTTTCTAAATGTATTTCTGAAAAATTTTACGTTGTGTTTGCAGCCTAACACAAGCGACAAAGACCTTGGTTACTCAAAGCACCAAAGGTTGGACGGTCTTTGCATTTATAATGCATAGAAAACGGCCTGAGTTTGGCTGTCTTTCACAATTGATATAACAAAAGCAACAAACTTTTAGTTTTTGGCAAAATTTTTTAATGGTGATTATTTTAAATTTTTGATTTTTCAAATCATCAGACATTGATCAAGGCATACATTAACACCCCATACAAAAGAAATAAGAATTTTCAGCGTGTTTGAAAAAAAAATTTAAGTGAAAGAAAATAAAAGCCAATTTTATCGTATCCAGGACTACGTTATGCACACAAAATATTACTTTTTGCATGCAAAAAATTTTTTTTCGAAAAATGTTTGTTTGCGTACGAAATTCGATTTGCGGTTGAAAAAAAACAAACATTTTTTTGGGCCAAATTTTCAAAATTGAATAATTTTTTTTTGTCGCCATCAAAAAAATGCCAGTCATACAATTTCCATATATGGGAATTGTATGGTAAGCATTTTTTTCAAAAAACGAAAACCTGAGTTTTTTATCACCAGACTGTTTTTATTAGAATCAAACAGCCACAGAAATAAGTTTATACCAGTTTTCAACCATTTTTAGAAATTGTATGAAAATTGTATGACAAGCATTTTTCCACACACTTGATGTATGGAATTGTATGATAAGCATTTTCGGTGTATGGAGGTCAACCCGGGTGAGAAAAAATTCTCAGCCCAAAAAAAAACCCAGAAAAGTGATATAGTGTACCTGAAAAGCAGTTCTCCGTTAGAAGAAGAACAGCTAATAAGTTTGCATGTTTCTTAGGAAATGATAGATTTATTTCTTTCCAGAGTTTCCGGTTATATTATAGCTGATACTATGGGTCAAGAGGATGGTCATCTCTTCAAAAAATCCTCCTAAACCAAATATTTGACCGGGGAATTTTAATGCGACCGATTTAGTTTCAAGTTTTTGAGTTACTATTTTCTGCATAAATAACCAACAGCTTCAAATAAGGTTTTATATGTTTTTATGGCTGCTAATTTTGAAATTTTATGTCTTTCATGGTTTTCAAAGTCGTTCATTTTATTTGGCAAAAATAATTTTCGCTGGGTGAAAGGGCTGCGGGATACTAATACTCTGGATCATTCTTTTTTATAAATATCTCCATGAAATTTATAATACTATAATGAAAGTATCAGCTTAAATAACCGTATAAATGTCGTCAGTTTGGCAAAATAAAAAAAAACTGCTATTTTTGAATCCGAAAAGTTCTGATACAAAATTTTGTGGTAATTTCTAGAAAGTTCTAAGTTTGAAAATATAGGTTCCTCCCAGTATTTTTAAATGGCTAGAAAAGTTTACTCGAGTTTCGGTTATTGCCCGCACTGGAGTTCCGAGGATAATAATTGATGGCTGCTAATTGATGGCTGCTTGTTATTTTATAGTCAGTATCTATGAAGTTACAAAAATAATTGATTATAATCCATAAAAAATACTCCCTGCCAGCTTACCACAACCTCCATTCGCCCCTCCCCCTTATGGGGAGTTATTAATAATTGGTAGACTTTGGGGGAGGAGGGTTTATGATTTACAAACCGCTACATCACTGAACCGAAACGAAATCAGAATAATATAGATTACTCCAGAAAAACCTAACATTTAATTGAGCAACAACAGTAATATTCTGTTGTTTTGTTGAAATAACAGTATTTATTTTTGGCTTGTTGGAATGTTTTTTTTTGTTCGGCTTGCTGGCCTACTACCGGTTTTTTTCAAGACAAACTATTTTAATTAAAATTAGTTATTTGCTTTTAGATGTAGTTGTCAAAAGGTTTTTTTGAAAAAAATTGCGGAAACTACCCTGTTTGGGACAACTGCGGGATACTATATCAACAAAAAATAAACGTCTATATCAACAAAAAAACGGGATACTATATCAACAAATAATAAATAATATATCAACAAATAATAAATAATATATCAACAAATAATAAACGTCATAACAAAGCCGATAATGTGGACGAAAAGTGAAATCTATTAAGATAGAAGGCGTCAAGCCAAAACCTCCCATAAAGAGATGGAAGCACCCAAAGACCAGTCAAAGCCTAAATTGAAGAATTGTCCGATTATTACAAAACATGGCTTAATGACTAAATAAGTTAATACACTCAAATTTGATTTTCAATGTTGACCTCAAAAAACCCCTCGCTAAAACATAAAATTGATCGTTTAATTAATGTGAGAAAAGATGGATTTAGTACTATTCGATAATTAAACTAAGGGTGACTATCATACGACCAATAAAAAAACCATAACAAACAGAAAACAGCTGGAAAAATGTCAATGAAATCATAAGACGAAGAATAAGCAGAGTTCCTGAACTTTTCTAAAATCAGACTGACTTTCTACAAAACTTTTCTGGCTTTCTTGAAAAAAATTTTTTCATAAAATTGCCATTTCAGAGAGTTTTTTTGTTTTCAAAGGAACCCTTCCTGGTTCTCTCTTGCTTTTATCATCCACCTTCCTGCCTAGTAGCATCATAAATTGACGTTAAACAAATCGATATGTGGTCTCATTCATAAGAGCATTGAAAAAACTGCTGCCCTTTTCTGTTAACACAACTAAGCGCTGCATATGAGATACGGGCTGATGAAAAAAGCCATGCAAAAGCTATTTCACTGAAAATGTTTTGAAATAATTTTAGATAAGCCCATTTTGTGAAAAAACGAAACCTTCCTGAATCTTTTTTTTTTGTTTTTACCCTACCCCTCCCGGCCTAGTAGCAATAAAACTCGATATAAATTGTATAATCGCTTGTTAGCTTGTTAATTGATTTGTTTGTGTTTATCTTAGTCAAAATGTATAACTATAATTATAACTGAAAGATAACTTTTCTCTACCAGAGAAGCATTATTCTAAATATAATTTTTCAATATCTGATCTTCTGTATAACATAATTACAGCTAAACGGCTGGTAATGAAAAATTATTTTTTTATCAGAATTTTTTCTTGTTCTTACTTTTTGTAATGCGAAAACCTTAAGGTTTGCAAAAAAAAACAAAATCAATTCCCCGAAATGCTATA